AAGGGGCACAAGAGGGGGTGAGGATGAGGAGAAACTGGAGTTGGCTTAGCTGACAGATCGAGCCTGAACCACATCAACTATACATACATTTCCACATCTTCAGTTATACACACATTCGCACATCACATTTCAAATGTACGGCTCCCAGTCACACGGCTAACCCCCAGTCAGATGAGGGGCGATAGATGAGAGAGATGAAGGGAGAGAAGGAGGATGGGATGGAGGGATGCGTGGAGGGAGAGTCGGTGTGCTGACAGGACTGTGACAGGGCTTAATTACCAAGCGAGCGCTGTGCACTGGAAGCAATTTCTAAGGATTGTTGTCATTTGAATAGATTAAAACGCCCTTTCACTGGACTAAGCTGTCTCACCACCGGCTTGCCTCCGCTGTGGATTAAAAGTCCAAGTCAAATCAAAGAGAAGAAGACACAGAGAGAAAGATGGTAGGATGGAGAGTGTCACAGAGGGCACTTAAAGCAAGATGGCACTGAAGAAAGCAAGGAGGAGAGGGACAGGAAGGGGGAAACAATATGTAGATATTTTGCACCACAAGACAGAAAGAAAATTCCTGTGTGCGGACAAAAAGAAAAAAATACTGGTCATATCTTCTTAGTCCCAAACCCTCCTACTCCTTTTCCTTTGCAATGCTATTATTCTTTTGCATCTGTCGGCTGTGGGTGTTTAATGATTAAAAAAACCCACATTACTCTTCCCACATGGATTTTCCATTGACTAACCACTGTCTTTTTCAATTACCTCCCACTTCCTTTTTCCCAATCCCCCTGTTTACACCTGCAGATACTGAGGGCTGCGAGCACACATGGAGGAAGTTCCACGGCCACTGCTACAGGTACTTCAGCCGGAGACACACCTGGGAGGACGCCGAGAAGGACTGCAGGGAGCACAGCGGCCACCTGGCTAGCATCCACAGCGCGGCTGAGCAAAACTTCATCAGAGGTGGGTGGAGGTTAAGGAAAAAGAGAGGACAGACTTGGCACAGACAGTGTAGCCTATGCAAATTCTGCTTGGTGTTTTTTTTTTCC